TATTTTCCCCTCACCCAGTAAGCCACAACAGGTCTCTTAGCTACCCGGGAAAGGGAGGGCTTCTCACTGCGGAGAGCTACAATTTTCAGAGCAGACGCGAACCCAAAGTAGCACACTTCGCACCTCTTTCAGCAATCTCATGGGGGTGTAACTCGGGGAGGGGAGGAGCAAGCATGGGACGGCGGTGGGGCTTTCTCCCTAGGTCAGTATAGGTCAAATCTGCCAGCGCACCCCTTGCCTCGAAGAAACCCAGGGCGGGCGAAGAAAGCGAGGCAGAGGAAGAAAAAAAAAAAAAAAACTCCGGAGGAAGTAGCGCTTCAAGGCAGCAGAGACTTTGGCAAAAAGCCCGCAGGGGGGGGGGGAACTCCCCTCTTTTCTCCCGCCTCGCGCGCGCTCTCCTCCGCCTCCTCCCTCCCTCCCTCCCGCTTCCTCCCCGGGTGACGTCGCCCGCAAGAAAGTTCCCCGAACCGAGGGCGCGCGCCCACCTTAAAGAACAGCCGAAGCTTCTGCGGGTGGCGTCGCTTCGCACTTGCAGCTGCAAGGGGGCCGGGAGGGTCGACAGACCGGAGGCTTTCTAACCATCCCTTTCGGAGCGCGCAACCTGGCGCAGTCGGTGCAGCCGAGTTAATTCCCAGGTAAAGCAGGGGAGGCGGGAGTGTATATGTGTGTTTGTGTGTAATGGGGGGGGGGGGGAAGGAATCTGCCATTAGTAGAGGAGGCATCTCGGGATGAAGCCAACCCAAGTCCAGGGCTAGAAGAAATCGGCGCACGCCTTGGTTCAGTTGTTCCGTTGTCCTGAGCGCTGCAAAACCCCTTGCGCTAAATCAGCCTTCGGCCAAGGCTCAAGTTTTAATGTTCCGCAAGATAATTTGTTCTGCCGTGGACCGTTGTTTTAATCTCCGTTTTTTAAAATGAGCGTCAGGTAGTTTGTAGTGCAATCCTAGACGTGATTGTTCAGAAACAATTATAGCACATTTAATATCTAGTTGAGCTTGGGGTGTTCCTTGGGAATAAACTCCATAGAACAGTTGGCGGGACTTCTGGCGATTTTAAATCTCCACCTTAGCTTAGCCCAGTGTTTCTCAACCTTGACAATTTTAAGGCATGTGGACTTCAACTCCCAGAATTCCACAGCCAGCAATGCTGGCTGTGGAATTCTGGGAGTTGAAGTCCACATGCCTTAAAATTGTCAAGGTTGAGAAACACTGGCCTTAGCCCATGCTAGGGCTAAGAGATACCAGATCTAGTGTGATACTATTAGAGGATCGAATGGCAGTGGGCCTGAATTGAAAGGGTTCTTATGCATTATCTGGTCCAACCTCAGCTAAATGCAGGAATCCATTAAATCATCCCCCCTCCCCCAAACAGGTAACTTATCTACTGTAAGCCCAAAGGTGCTTTTTTTCACGAGGCAAAAAGTCCAGTTGCTTCGTGAAAAAAGCATCTTTGGGACAACCGTGGCCTGGATGACTGAGAATCTCCATAAACATTTATTTACCGTAATCCATTTTCTAAAACTTTCAGTAAGAGGGTAGGACAGACTGATTGATGGCTGAGCAGCTCTTCCTATCAAGAAGTTTCTCCTAATCTTCAGCCTTCTTTTTATATATTTTATTTAATTAATATTTAATTAATTTAATTATTAATTATTTCATTATTATTTCATTTAATTTCAACTCATTGGATTCTGTCCTGTACTTTGTTGCGACAGAGAACAAGTCCACCCTGTTTTGCACAGGAACAGCCTTTTAAATACTTATAGACTCCTCTCATGTCTCCTCTCATTTTTTTTCTTTTACAAGCTAAACCTGTAGTTCTTTTAACTGTGTCTCATAGAACTTTGTTTTCAAACCTCTTACTTCTTGATATCTCTCATTTGAATCCATTCCTGTTTTTTAAAGTTCCTTTTAACCTGTGGACCCCAGTACTGGAAGCAATATTTTAAGCGTGGTCTAACTAGTGCAGAGTACACAAAATTACTACACTGTAATAATTTTGATGCAGTGAGAGCCAGGTTGGTGTAATGGTTAAGGCATCAGGCTAGAAACCAGGATACAGTGAGTTCTAGTTCTGCCTTCCTTTGGCAGGAAGCCAACTCTGTGAACTTGATCCAGTTTCTCTCTCTCAGTCATAGAAGGAGGCAGTGACAAGCCAGTTCTGCAAATCTTGCCAATAAAACTAATGGGACTAGTCCTGGCCAGTCACCAAGAGTCAGAATATAACTTGGAATAAAAAAAAATGCTTGAAGACACACATACACACCGATTTTAATGCAGTTAATTTTGTTAATGCGGTCAAAGACTGCTTTGCGTTGTTTGCTGAGTTGTGCTTTCTTTCATGAGATGCCATGTTTTGAGTGATGCCTGGTAGTTGTTGATGGAGTCCTGGTACTTTTAAAACTAAAGTTGCAAGATTATCTCCTAATCTTGGCAAAAACCATTTGAGTGCATAGTTTAATGGAGTTGCACATCCTCACAGAATTATAATCACAGATGTTTTTGTGGATGGCTTGGTTCACTATAGATTATGCCATAATCAAAATGATTCATTTAGAAAGACATCAAGCTTCTTGCAGTACAATTGTACTTTGCAGAGTACTATAAAACAAACATATTAACTATATAATAAACAAAACTAAGACTCTAATTCTCTGTATGCTTCTCTGGGATTAAATCCCACTGACTTTTGTAGAGTTTATTTCTGTATAGTATGATTTACTTTTGCAGAGGACATATCAAATATTTTATGTGATTTTATGCACAGTAACATATGCAGTTTTTAGTGGGTCATAGTTAGTAAATGTGTTCATAATTGCATTTTTATTGGTTGGCCAATACTACTTTACACACATTTTCTTACAGATAAAACAATACTGTAATTCTTTTCTGAGTTCAACATTATTCTTTGTAGATTGTGTGTGTATATGTGTCAGTCAGAGATGATAGAGACTCATCTAGCATTTCTATAAGTACTCTTATTAAAATATTAAGCTTAAAGCAACTTCTTCATTTTAGGTTTTAAACTCCTTACTGGGCCATGAAATTTGTAATCACAATTATCTTCTAATGACACAATGAACTTGTAATCACAATGAATTACTACAGCCCTACTATGTTAATCCATATAATGATTCTGTTAGCCCAAACAGCAAATTGAGAATCCATCAAATGCTGCAGTGAATTATATTGCTCTGTCCAATACTGTATCAATAAGAACCAAATTACCTAAGTTAACAGACCTAAAATAACTTGCAGAATATGGGTATCAAATATAAACATGCATTTAATAGAAATTCTGTGAAACTTTCCTATCCCTTGCAGCTATGTGCTCTTCCCCAAAATCTTGCTGAAGTGATTGGAGAATTGTCCCAAATCTTACAAATTTTGGGAAAGAGCATACAGCTGCAAGGAATAGGAAACTTTCAAGGAATTCCTATTAAATGCAAAACTAAAAAGAGAAAAGAAAGGAAAAATACGGTATAGTAAGAAACAGAAAAGAAATATGTAAAGAAATAACTTCCAACCTTCATCACAAGAAGTATAAACAATTTTAATAACTTATCATTTCCTTTTAGAATACAACAAATGTTATCTTCTTTCCATCTCCCATCTTCAATCTTCATTGAAGTATTGGCTCCACTTTTCACAAAGCTATATTCAATCCACCATTTCTTCTTCTGGAAGAAAAACTATTAAGAAATAAAATTAGGAATAACTCTGTATTACCTGTTGATATGTATTTTTCATCTGAAAGCATACTAGTAACTAGTAGTGTGCCTGGCTGAGGAATTCTGGGAGTTGAAGTCCACAAGTCATAAAAGGGTCAAGTTTGAAGGCCCCTGGTTTAGGTTTTGTGGTACTTTCAGAGGCAGGATGGTCTACTCTAGGAGGCTAATCCATCCAAAATGGCTAATAACTTTTGGAAACATCTGTGTCTTCTGTTGCCATTTGTTTTATTGAAATCTTAGTCAAAGCTTGAAGTTAGGAAGTGAAATGGCTAGAGTCATAGAGCTGGAAAAGTTGGGATGAATATAATCAAATACATATTCGATAGAGTCTGTTCAGTGAAGTAGCAAAAAGTTTATTTCTCTGTTAGCACAGGAATTATTCCATGCAAGCTAGCAGTACTGGTCTGTGCTTAGCATCTTGTGATGGCCAGTTTCTAAAGTCTTCATTTCCATTTTGATTTGGATGCTACTATAAGAATAATATTAGGCAGTACATGTTTAGCTCCTGATTGTCTAGTTAAATTGGATGAATTTTAGCTTATGCAGCTTGAAGGGTTTTGGAGATAAGATGTCAGCTATGTGTGCGTTTGACTCTTGCTCGTCCTATTTAATGGGAGCAGTTAGTAGTGGAAAAACCGAGTGGAATCTCATTGTAGAAAAAGGTGTTTCCTGAATGATAGAATCTGGGATAAAACTGTTTGAACAAATCTTTTATTGTAGTATTCCATTCACTCTCAAATATTCCACTTATCGATATAGTTCTTACATACTTCATGGCTTCTCAGCTCAAATTATGTTTTAATTACAGCACACCTGGATTACTTCAATGTTCTGCCCATAAAGCTTACTTTGAAGACTATTTGAAAACTCAGTTTATCCCGAATCGAGTGCATGTGGAGCTTATCGGTTTTCTGTTTGAAAAACTGCATTGGCATTCAATTTATTAACAGAAAAAAATTCAAACTTGGGTGATTGCATTATAGACCATGAATGTTTTAGACCCAGGACTTTGAACAGCTATTACTTGCTGTGTCAATTTGCCATTTAAATCATTATCATCTTAATATCCATTTAGTTGGGACCAAGAAGAGTGAGTTTTTCTTCAGTTGCATCTAATTACAGCACAAAGATGCCCAAACAATCTCTTTTTTTCATGTTGTGTCCTCATGCTGTGGCCTTCATGTCACACCTAGCCGTGGTGGCGCAGTGGTCAGAATGCAGTATTGCAGGCTAATTCTCCTGACTGCTGATTGCCAGCAATTTGGCAGTTTGAACCTCACTAGGCTCAAGGTTGACTCAGCCTTCCATCCTTCCGAGGTCAGTAAAGTGAGGACCCAGATTGCTGGGGGGGGAATATGCTGACTTTGTAAACCACTTAGAGAGGGCTGTAAAGCACAGTGAAGTGGTATATAAATCTAAGTGCTATTGCTAGCCAATACCAGAGGAAGCTTAAAGCCATCTTTTGCTGTTCCAGGTTTAAAATAGCTTTTTTCATCTTTTCCCAGCACAGTTTTGACCATGGAGATAGTCTGACAGACCTCATCAGTGATCTGGTTGCTGATGTGTTGAGGGTTATGATCTGTCCAGCTGTTCCAGCAGGGAACAAGTCATGGCAGTTTTCCTGAGTATGAAATCTGATATACTTCAATGATCGTCTACTCTAGTTGGTGTTACAATCTGGTGATCCTTAGAGGTTAGATCATCCTGGTACCTACCAGCATCATGCACTGCACTTCCAACTCTTGGGATTCTGTGATCCTAAGTTTCCTTTCTGTATTTATCGAGAACTGCATTTAAAATGGTTAAAATCAATATTAAAGAGCCAGTTTGGTAAGTGGTTAAGGGATCAGGCTAGATACCAAGAGACCGTGAGTTCTAGTCCTACATAACGCACAAAGCCAGACCTTGGGCCAGTCCCTTTTTCAGCCCTAGATAGGAGACAACGGCAAACTATTTCTGAAATTTTGTCAAGAAAGTCAAGTCCCAGCAGTCGCCTGGAGTCAACACTGACTCAAAGGCACACCTCCCCCCCAAATTAATATTTCTGAACGTTGTTCCTTTATTTTATTGCTTTTTGAAATCTGTCTTTTGAATAGTATTTTAAGTGTGAGTCATGTCAATATTTTAGACAGATAGTTTAAATGAATAAATATTCTGCATTAGCAGAATTGTAAAGGTATTATAATAAGAAATAGAAAGCATTTTTTTATAAAATCGAGAAAATAGAATTGCACCACGCAAAGGCCAGATCTGCTCTGTCAAAATCAATGCTCATGCCTATTTCTTTACAATATGCCCTTTTTTGTTCTCATGTGCAGCAGCCAGGTGGTGTTGGAGGTATAAGGCAAATGCCCTGAAGGTACAAGAAAAATTGTAGTCCTCTGTGTACAGCTACTGTACACAGAATAAGATTGATGAAACAAAATATGGGGATAATAAAGAAATGTCAACTGGGTTTTGTTAACATTCTGATTAATAACAAGTATTGTCTTCCAATACTAAATATGGGATTTTAGCAACAGAATTCCAAAATGTGCTTTAGAAACAATCTTCTCTATTTTTCTACTGCTGATGCTTCAGGAATTGTATACTACAATACTATTTTTTTCTTCGAGAAAAAGAGGGGAAAAGAAAGCATAACTCCCAACCTGCACCAAGTTTTGAAGTATTTGAATAGCACACACAGATATAAAACAATGGAAGAAAGATAAAGTAGCAATAGCAAAAGCACTTAGATTTATATACCTCTCCATAGTGTTTTACAGCATTCTTTAAGTGGTTTATGGAGTCAGCATATTGCCCCCAACAGCCTGGGTCCTCATTTTACCGACCTCAGAAGGATGAAAGGCTGAGTCAACCTTGAGCTGGTCAGGATCGAACTGCTGGCAGTTGGCAGAATTAGCCTGCAATACTGCATTCTAACCACTGTGCCACCACAATAAAGTAATTAAAGCAGAGATTTTAAGCAGGGACAATAGACTGTTACTGTCTGTCAGACTGTAGCAGGAGATTATACCCATAACATTTACAGTGCCAAAATTGCACAGTGTATGAAATTATCTTGGCAATTAATAAGTTTCTTACTTTCAAACTGATAAACTACGTTCATTCAATAATATAATTTCTTTAATACAAAGGAAACTGGGACAAAATATGAAATAACTATATCCTTCAAACTTTGCATATATGATTTACCTCTAACCAGCAACTTTCATTTGTCTGAAAAGGAGAGTGGCTGTTAAGTCCTCTCTGAATTTTTCTTACCCGGCAATTTTGCAAATCATACTGGCCAGCTATTCTGGAAATTGCAATCCAACATATTCGAAAGATACCATCTTTCTTATCTCAAAAAGCAAGCCTATTTCTTTTTAGCATGTCTCAGTGGAATCAAGTGCAGCAGTTGGAACCCTGTTTTTTAGAGCAAATAGACCAGATTTACGATGACATCTTTCCCATGGAAATTCGACATCTTTTAGCACAGTGGATCGAAAACCAGGACTGGTAAGTTTGGACAATTTTTTTTCTTTTCTGCCTTGAATATTAGGACACTGCTGAATAGGCAGATATAGCTTGCATTGTATTTACTGTTGAGTGTTTCTCAACTTTGTCAACTTGAAGATGGGTGGACTTCAATTCCCAGAATTCCTCAGTCAGAATTCCACAACTTGCTGGTTAGGAATTCTGGGAGTTGAGGTCCACACATTTTCAAGCTGCCAAGTTTGAGAAGCACTGTTGTATACAGATATAGCTTCCTGGGCAGAACCCCCCACCCTTCTTGGGAATACAGTTATTTTATTATCCAAATAAAAATAAAATATTGTTGTTTTGCATCAAATCTGTGGCTGTACATGTTTAAGCAGCATTAAACGAGTAAAGATGCAATAGACATAACAAATAATTCAAAACCTACAGAATTAATAGTACTATAATTTTACATAATTTCATATTCCATAAGCCTACTCCATCAAGCATAATTTGGAAAGTATATAGTAAAATATGACCATATCTTTATGAATTAATGTTCCCTCTCTTTCTATATTTTTGTCATTGTTATAGCCATTTTGTTACCTACAAAGAAAGTTCAGTGAATATATTAACCCATTTAATGTTTGAAATAATCATTCTATTATGATTATTGTCTTTGATACTGAAAGATATATGGAGATAAACATGTCAAACTATAAAATATTTTGGTTTATAAAATGCACCCTGAAGATTGTTTTTAGAGGAAGTGTATAGTACTTCTTTTTGTCAACACAGCTGTATCCAGATTCAAAACTCTAGATAGTACATATCAGCAATTATTAATTAATTCCAATGATTAATTTTAAATTAATTCTCCATCCTTTCTTCATTCCTACACAGATAGAAATCAATATATTGATAATATTCTCACATTTATGGTCAGATGTTAATTTTCATAAGCAGTTTATCATTTTTCTATTTTAATGTTAGGACTACATAGAGTAGCATTTAATTGAAAATATACTGTATATGTGTACAAATATGTAAATATTACATCTTTAAATACAGTACATATGTGCTGTTTTAAAGCTGAAGAGAGCGTTTTAAAAAGTAAACTCAGAATTTTATTAGCTTTCAATCCTATATATTATTTTATTTTATTTTAACTTTATAATATTATAATAATATTCTGTATATAATTTACATTATGCTCAATAATATCCTTGAAGACGTGACTTACATTATATACAGAATATTTTCTTTAGATAAAAACAGAATTTGTATAACCAATTTGTTGGCCTCCCATTTAGTGCCTAGTATTTCTCTTGAACAAATGATTTTGAAAACAGTACTATTTTTGATATATGTATTTTTTTTCTTATCTATTTCCTGTTGCAAAGGGAATCTGCCTATAGCAATGAGTCCACAGCGGCAATGCTGTTGCATAACTTATTCATAAAACTGGATGAGCATTTAGAGCGTGTTTCTCAGGAGAAGAATCTCCTTTTGATACATAACCTAAAGAAAGTCAGAAAAGTTCTTCAGGTGAGTTTAAAAAAGAATTGCAAAGAAATCTCCTGCAGATTTACATCTTGAAATGTAAAGCAAGCTGCAAACATGCATACTTTCTGATATAAACTATGCAGTCTTCATTATTGATAGAGTATATACTGCACGTATCCATTATATAAACACTATAATGTGTGTTGCAGTGTGAAATTGGAATGAATGCTATGCAATAAATGTCAGTGACCAAGTCAAAGCCTGATAAAAAGGAAGTAATAAATGATGATAGAATATTGAAAAAAGGGTGAGTTGTAGTATAGCCACAGAAATGTTACAGTATGGATGTGGTTTGTTTATGGAGTGGATATGAAACTTTTTTTTAATGTGTGTGAAGATTAACTTTGCCTGACAATTGGAAAAAGGCCATTATTGTTCCTCTATACAAAAGTTGCAGAAGATTTCAGAAAGATTGCAAAAACAGACACCAAAAATTACAGGAGGAATTTGTTTATTAACTGAGAAGGTGTTTGGTAGAATTCTGATCAAAAGGGTATGAAATGACAATGAGCAAAATTTGGGAACAGCAGCATGGCTTTGTTACAGACAAAGGGTTACAGAGTTAAGATTTTTACTCAAATTATATATTCAGTTATGTGTGTATTGACCATGATGTGCAAAAACCAGCGTGTCTCTGATGTGCCTGAATCTTTCCCAGCATTATACTTCTCCTCCATAAGTTAGTAAGCTGTACCTAAACTAAAAGCCATAAACCTTGATCTTAAATATATGAGGATAATTCATTCTGTTCTGCTGAGGATCAATAGCTGTCAGCCTTGATGGCAGCAGGTGTCGAGCTCAAAACCAAGAATGATACATGGTAAATCTTCCAAGATGAGTTCTTTATTGTTTAACACTTACAGACAACATTTTGCCAGACTGGGGACTCCACTGTCTCATCTACAGTTTATGAACTATTAGTAAAGGGCTTCTTCCTTCTGTTTCTCTCACACCCAATATCTGGACTGATTTGCTTCTTACTTCTCTGGAAGGCACCCTTCCCTCCTGAGAATCAACCTCCTCACTAGATCCCATTGGAGCAGGGCTGCCTTTGAAGGCCATATGCTGGGAGACTAGAGGGCTTCCTTGTATGATTGGTTGGCTACCATGAGGACAGATTGATTGACTAGATGGATCAAGGATCCCATCCAACAGAGCACCCTCTATGTTCTTATATTAAGATATTTTGTGCCGGTCAAAGACCTTTCTATTAGTCAGATTCTGATACGGGAGAATTGGTAGAACGGAAGGTTAGGAAAAGAGAGGATAAAAGAAAACATACAATATATAAAGATTTAAAGGAAAGCCAGAAATTAACCTCTCAGCGATGCACACAACAATCACCCAAGTTTATTGGTAAAATGTCCCGGCTGTAGTCCCTTAAATAATTTAATATCTTGTGAGCTTCATGTAAGCTTTTTATGAAAGACTAAGTGGGTAAGAAACTTATTGCAGCATGCGGATACAATGATAGTGAAAACTTCAGATATTGAATGTCTTGCCTACCTTTTGTCAGAGAACCAAATACAAGTTTGAGAGAAACAGTACAGACAAAATGGGGAAAAATAAAGAAATGATAGAAAAGACTATGAATATTCAGAGAGATACTACGATTCATATAATTAACTTCATGTATGCAATGAGGTATATTACATGCATATCAAGAATGGACCTGAATTTTCTGTAATGACTTCATGGCTGTTCTACTGTATGTGGCCAACTTCTGCTATTGGGTACGGATTAGATCTTTCTTATGTTTCTTTAACTTTGTTTTTCAGGCAAAATATCAAAGTAATCCTCTACATATAGCACTGGTTATTTCAAACTGTTTAAGAGAAGAAAGAAGAGTATTGGCTTCAGCCAGTATGCCAGTTCAGGTAATTTTTGTGATGATGACCTGGAGGAGGAGGAGGAGATAGAAGGAATGCCCATCAAATTTGCAAAGCTTCAATATACTAATACTTCAGAAGACTGGGTCAAGTTTAAAAGGATCTTTTTAGGTTTGAACATTGGTCCTAAATCCATCAAATTGCTGTTCAGTAGTAAGAAATATAAGATTTGTCTTATAAAAGAATGTCCCCGTTTCCCCCTCCCCCCCACATACACAGAGGCATAAAATAGGGATATTTTGTGCCTCAGCGATAGTACTTATGAGAAAGATCTATAAGGATCTGAGAATGAGCCTGAGACAGCAGTCTGTTGCAGTTGCCAAAAAAAATCAATGCAATAGTATTTCTATTTCTATAGAGTACTAATCAAACTGTACCTGAAAACCTGAGACCAGTTTTGGTTACCCCAGTACAAGAAGGATGCTGAGGAACTGGAAATAGAAAAGTTGGGCAAATAATGAGAGATATCTATGCAGTAGATCAGGGGTGTCAAATTGGCAGTCCGTGGGCCGGATGCGTCACACGCAGGCCCACGCCCACCCTGGCTTCGCAAAGGCAAAAAACATCATGATACGTCACGTGATACAATCGAGTTAGACACCCGTACCGTAGATCAACTGAAGCTTCATGGAATAGTTTCCCTGTATCTTTTTTTTTTAAGATGAGAGATGAGAAGATGTACTGCTATTCTTCATTTTAAGTTTTTCCTTTGAAATAAATTCTGTACTATGCAGAGGTCTCAGGTTGCTAAACATATCTTGATTTGCCATTGAATGCTCATCATTGTTAAAACTCTCCTTTGGGCTGTTTTTAGATCACAATTAATATACCTGTGGCAGTCCAATTATCTCCATTTACCAGCAATACTTTTTGTAACTGATACCCACATGTATATGTTGCCTTTGAAAAAGCTGAACAAACAGGAACTATTACCAAAAGCTAATTGGCCTTATTGAATTTAATCCGTTCCCTCTCACTAAAACTTGTCATTAAATAATCTGTGCTAAATGGGAAAGTATTAATAAACTGATTTGTCAAAATTCTTTTTCCAGGGACCTCTAGAAAAGTCACTACAAAACTACTTGGGTTCAGAAAGGCAAAGAAAAATTGAGCTCAAAGGTTCTGAAATTAAGAACAGTACACAGGCAAGTTATTACAGTTTGTACATCTAATATTTGATATATCAAAGATCTCATATATAAGTAGTCCACTCTTAACAACTGTTCAAAGTTACAACGACCCCCCCCCAAATGGTATTTACAACCCAGTTCTGGAGTTCTGACAATGGAACACACACCCTGCAGTCACCCAGTTTCCAGCAAAAAAACAACCAATGGAATGCATTGACTCAACAAATGACCACTTCATTTGCTTAACAACCATTGCAAAAAAGGTTGTAAAATCAGGTTGGTCATAAGGGTGCCTCAACCTATGACCATCATGACTTAAGACTGAAATTTGGGCTGCATTACTGTAAGTTGAGGATTACCTAGAGGGATATCAATTATTTTTATATGGGTTAAGTTTGATGATAATTTGAAACTAGATCCACAGGTACAGAAGAATGAAATGATATATGATGGAAATTGGACTGTTGCCCTTTTGTGGTACAGTAGTAGAAGTGAGGCATAACTCATTGAAATGTCCCCATTCAGAGCTTTGACCTGAAAATTGTTATTGTTAATTTATCAGGGGTAGAAGATTTCTTTGCAGCTATATCTCCAGTACTTGAGAATGCTGTCCACTAATTCTGTTACACTGATATTCTTGGGAGCTGGCAAATTAAGCCAAGGCAGGCAAGGCTTCTTTGGAATTATGAACCCCTGCAAAATCCTTTTAAATACGTAGTATTGCCCTCTTGAATTCAGCTGATCTCCTCTCATTGAAACTAACTTTTTTTCCTGTGAGCTGTACTTTTTTTATTAAAAAGAAAAGAAAAATTTAAGACTGCAATTCTGTGCATGCTTATCTAAGCATAAGCACCAGTGAACAAATTGGAACTTGCTTCTGAATAGACATGCATAAATGCACTATATATCTACAGCATGTGATACAGCAGTGTTTCTCAACCTTGACAATTTTAAGGCATGTGGACTTCAACTCCCAGAATTCCACAGCCAGCATTGCTGGCTGTGGAATTCTGGGAGTTGAAGTCCACATGCCTTAAAATTGTCAAGGTTGAGAAACACTGTGATACAGCATGATACCATTTACAGTGTTTTGCTGAATAAACTAAAATTGGTTGGGTAAAAATCAATCCACTTTTTGGTTTAGTATGATTTGTAATCCCAGCTGCTTTTCCCACTAAGGAAGAAGATAGCAATTGTAGCATTTCCATTCCATTTCAGAGAAACTCAAGCTTCTTAGGAATGTTATTATTGTTTGCTTAAAGCTATGGACTATATTAGATCCACTTACTACTCAATGCATTTAATCTGAAAACAGCTGACAGAACAAGACATCAAATATTTAGAAGATTTGCAAGAGGAGTTTGACTTCAGATTTAAAACTATATGCAACATAGGTAAGCTTTCCCACTCAATGCTATGAAGGAAAAATGCTGGTTTTCAAACTTGCATATGTTTAAAAATTGGCTGTACCTAGGCCAGTGATGGCGAACCTTTTAGAGATCGAGTGCCCAAAAACTGGCCCCGCCCTGCCCGCCCCACTCCGTCCCAGCCCCAGCCCCCGCCCCCCTGCCCCAGCCACCCACCGCCTCCACGGCCTGCCACAGATTGCCCAGGCAGCCCAACAGCACCATGGCAGCCACGCCCTTTGTCCGCATCCCACATCATCCGCATGCGATGGGGCACGAGGGCAGAGTCTTGTCCCTGCTGCCCAGCCGCCATGTTCTTGGCTGCACTACTCCGTGCGGGCCGCGTTTGAGGGCAAATCTCCGGGGGGGCTGCTGGTGAGGAGGGGGCCACGGGGGGAGGAGGGGCTGGGGCAACGGCGTGCGTGCCCACAGAGGGGGCTCTGAGTGCCGCCTCTGGCACACATGCCATAGGTTTGCCATCACTGACGTAGGCTATAGATTTTCATTGAACATTTCACTGTCTTCTTTTTGGAGTGACGGGCAGGATTTGATTAAGACTCAGACTACTATTGATGCATACTCCCTGCAAAATAAATTCCAAGTAAAATATGCCTAACATCTTAGCTTGATGTATTCTACATCCAGCAAAATATTAGTCTAGCTAAAACGTGCCCCTCTGCATTTTAATCTGGAGATAAGTATCCCTGAGATTAGTGGCATGTATTTATGTATGAAGATACACCTTCTTTTTCTATCAATTTAATCTTTAAGTCACATTGTGGCTATAACATTTTGTATTGTAATTCCTTATTTTTTCTAATTTAAATGAGCTCCAGCAGTCAGACCAATAAGGGAAAGAAAATTCTTAATTAATTTGTTTTTAATGGGATTCTTTATGTATTAACAGCAGTTATATACTGCTCTAATATAAAAGATAACAGGTTGTGTTCACATATGGCTAGAAATGAAAATGTGAATTTCTAACTGTAACAATCCTAAGCTTTTTTTTTATTATTTAAATAAAATGGCAGGAAAATTCAGGGTTATTTAAGAGTTCCATGTAATTTGTCTTTTACTCTGGATGGTTCAAGCCAACTAAGGTTAACAAATGGTTAGCGATAAACAGCAATGGGTTCATTTCTCTGAATCACCCCATTTAGAACTAGAGATAAACTTTCCATATTTGCATACTCCAAAATGCATACAGCCTAGGAGAATCATAATAGGTTTGTTCCTTTAGAAATTCAGCTATGAGAGAAAAAGAACTTTGCACAGAAGAGATCTTTAACAACCTTCTTGTTAAGGACTTCTTGTTCAAAAATCTCCTCTCCAACCTGGGTTTATTCATCACTGAGGAAAAGAGGCAGAGCTTTCAGACCAAATAACAGTTGTTGGCTAGTTATTATTAGAAAAAAAGACATTTAGTTTTAAAATCTAAAAGAACTAGACAAAATATTCAGAATACCGACAGGGTATTGATTTGGGTTAATGTTCACTCCTTTTTCAAAAACATACTTAGACACAGTAAGACATAATACATTAGATAGCATACCGTAATGTATTTATAAACTTAATGAGCGATACAGGTTTATGTTTATCTAACATTGGTTGCAGGCAAAGTAAAAGTGCAATAGGAAAAAAAATGAAAACACGCTGCCTTAAAACTACTTGCACATGCTGTTTTGACTGGTTTCCCCGGTCTTATGCTTCATGTTCTACATATCTCCTTTTAGAACAGAATGACAAAAACAGTCCTGTGATGAAGCAGGAGATGCTGTTGTTGCAGGAAATGCTCAATACCATAGACTACAAGAGAAAGGTTGGTTCAATTGTTTGTCATTTATATACTTTGTTGAGCTTAAAGTCATTATGGAAGGCCTTTTTTTCTACTTACAAATTAAGAAGTAATTCCAAATTTACAAAAAAAAAAGCCAATACAACTAGTTCTTAAAATTGGGCCAGGTTTTTAAGAACTTCTTGTTGGTTTTTCATTAATTTATCTCTGGGCAACTTCCCAAATTCTCTCACAGAGGAACAGGGGAGGGAGGGAGGACATAGCAGAAATCTCCACACAACACTGAAGCAAGGGCTAATTTCTTTACATCTAATAACTGCTACAGTCATGTCAATATTTTGACTAGTTTTTCTCAACCTTGGCAAGTTTCAGATGGATAAGATGGGTGGACTTTCTCAGATTTTTCTCAGCTAGTCTTGGGAGTTGAAGTCCCGCCCATCTTAAATTTGCCAAAATTGAGAAACGCTGATTTAGATATACATATACTGTATATTGCAATATACTGTATTGCTATTTGATAGCTATAATACAGCAAATATTGGACAAGAACACATACAGTACATTGAATGTTTAATTGCTACACAGAGTAATTGTAGGGTTTAAAAGGTATAGAATTACTAGACACTTCAGAACCAAAAGTCAAACTTTTTTTGGTTGGGGCTATCCTTTCCCAAAATTATTTTTGGTCTTCAAAGGCTTCAGAAGGATACAATGATGATGAGGTCATATTGCTACAGTGGGCAAAGCTATAGGTTTTTTTTTGGGGGGGGGGGCTTGGTTGAAAATATTTTCAAGGATGGGGCAGGGATTTTTTTTGCAGAAAATAGATGAAGTGATCCCTTCAGAGCCTAACTTACCTCTTCCATTGCTTAAACTCAAAAAGAAAAGGACAATTTTTGCTGCTGAATTTCAACAGCTTAATGCTGGAGTGCTAGTTACTTTAAACAGAAGGTTTCCCAAATATTTTATTTTTTCCAAATGTTTTGTTTAGCAAGGTCAATGTATATTTGCTTTGAAAGATTAGACTGAGATTTTGTCCAGGCTAAAGATTTTTCAAAATGTATGTGTATTTTAAAATGTGTGTGCATGTTCATTTCAAACATTTACTATATATAGCAGTCAATTTTGGACATTACAAACAAAATGTTACCTGCTCTTTCTTACTTCCAACGTTGCTGAACAAAATACTTGGTAAATAAAAATGTCAGTTGCAGTTGGCAGTCCGTTGTGTCAAAAGGTTAGGTCATGAGAATCAAGATACTCAAGAAATAAGTTGTACGCAATACAATTTGGCAAGTTAAAACCTCAAAATAAAACTTGAGAAGATGGTGTTATCTGGAGAAAAAAAAACCCCAGCCAACTCTCTTCCCCCAGCCAAAGGAGCAAAACAACCACCCTAATCATCACCCTAACCCAGGGGTAGGCAACCTTGGCTCTTTTATGACTCGTGGACTTCAACTCCCAGAATTCCTGAGCCAGCTGGCTCAGGAATTCTGGGAGTTGAAGTCCACGAGTCATAAAAGAGCCAAGGTTGCCTACCCCTGCCCTAACCCAAGGCTGGAGTTTTTGAAGGCCACAAAGGTGAGAGCCATGCAGATCACTGGATTCAATTAGTATCTCAGCAATGTTTGTTGTGAATGATCTGACTGGGCAGCACTTTCTCACTGCCTTGTTTTTTATTTAATAAGAAAAAAGATCCTTCATGTTTTTCCTACTTGGGATGGGGGCATCACATACAGATCTGTGGAAGGCTAAGTGGCTTGTCTTTCCCTGCACGTGTTTCCTTTCAAAGCAGTAGTAGTTAAAGTTTAAAATAAAGTTAAAGACACAGAAGCCATACTACAGAAGCAGCTTCGGGTTTTGTGGCTGCTCGTGTACTCAAGTTGCTTTCTTGGAAGACAAATGGTTTCTTAAACTAGCCACTGCTTTGATGCTGGATGGTGATAAATTAACCAACAGCAAACCATGTGTATAGATTAAGCTAAAGAACAACACCGCTTAGGTTGTTATACAAATCAGATCATTTATGAATTCTCTCTTGACTCTAACTACGGTACCTCTCCTGTCCTTTATAGGAAGTTCTCAGTAAAATGGCACAAATAGTAAGGGAGGTTGATGCCTTGGTGAATAACATATTAATAGAAGAGTTATTGGACTGGAAGAGACGGCAACAAATCGCTTGCATTGGGGGCCCTCTACACAGTGGGCTTGATCAGCTGCAAAACTGGTAAAGTGTTATCGCTTGTTTCTCTATAAAGCGCAACAGGAAATGTGATGCTCTGTGGCTTTTCCATCTCAGTTTAGTCAATAAAAGTTTCTTCTGAGAGATTAACAGAAATTATCGTTCAGCAATTTCTAAGAATCAGAAGAGTCAGAAACAGAGATCATTGAAAGAGGCATGCATTGGCAACAAATAATGCTTCTTTAAATGATCTCTGCTTCTGACTCTCCTGATTCTTAGAAATTGTTTAGCAGTAAAATAAAAGTAAAAGGATTGAAGTTGAATCATACAGGTAATATTTTCATACCAAATTGTGAAGCCATTGTGAGGCTGTTAGCTGACTGTGAAATCTCTCTGCTATGAGTATTTGGTAGTCTAGCAAGCAGCACACTTTCTACTGGGAAGGAGGGAGGGAACTGAATTTATAGCTCATGTTTGTATGGAAAGTTCTCCAAACATACGGCAAAAGTAGTTTTCTTGCATGCATCCAAAATAAGTCCAGTGAATTATTCTAATGTACTGGACTTGTGGCTCCCCAGTTCAGAATGACTTTGGGTGGCAAACAGCAATTATATAAAATGATGGTGATACAGAATAATAATCTAGTTGTGTGCAACCAATAATAATAATGCCAAATCCTATCTAATCAACTGGCTGATTGTGTGATAAACCATAATAATATTACTGCATGGGCAAATGAGGCTTAAGGACCCCACTATCCAGGTAAGCTCAAGGCCTGGGAGAAAAATTCAGAGGCTCCAGAGGGCAGGAGTAGCAACAGAGAAAGCATGTTTCCTGGGTCCCATCAGATGACATATTTTAACCCTGGACCCAGAGAGTGCTGTTTTAAGGAACAAGCGTGCTCTTGGTCACTTGTTCTCTCTGGAACTGGATTGCAGAACAAATGCAATTCAGCTTTCTATTTCTAGGCTACATTTGTACTTCCAATAGAAGAGAGTAGTTGTAGTTTGTAGTTCCACACTGCGTTTCAGTGCAAGCTAGACAGACAACACTTTTGGGATAGCCTCTTCTAACTAAATTATACAGCCGTGGTGGCGAACCTATGGCATGCGTGCCACAGGTGGCACGTAGAGTCCTCTCTGTGGGCACGTGCGCCGTTGCCCCAGTCCTAGGCCTTCAGCTGGGTTTTATAAAACCTTTTCGCTTTAGGCCTCCGCCGCCGTGTGCAAAAAAAAAGGTTCAATCCAATCAATCAATTTCAACTTCTCGCGGGGAAAAAAACCTCGCAAAGTTGGAATTGATTGATTGAACTTTTTAGTCCCACCCAGTCTGCCGTTACCACCACGGCCAGGCCCACCCAATGGGCCACGCCCGCCCAATGGGCCATGCCCACCCAGCACCCGATGATACATAAGTGGGTTTTGGGTTGCAGTTTGAGCACTCCGTCTCTAAAAGGTTCGCCATCACTGTTATACAGTATGGTACTGCCTTGGGAAATATATCTGGCTGGCAGACATAGACATTTCTGGATTTTTACCAATGCCTTTAGGAAAGAATGCCTGCTATTTACATTTTCATTTATCATCTTAAATATTAAGTGTTTCAAAATATTATTGCCACGCAATTAAAGCACATATGCACATATAAATTAATAGCTTCCCATAATGCTGCAGTTGACATTCATGCTTTCATTAGGTCTTCAGAATAAAAGCAGGCCTCTTCTTGAAGAGTCTGTTGGGGAAAGACTGCTATAGAAAAACCTGAGTTAGGGATTAAGCAAATTTGACTTGCTTTCAGAATTGTGCCTGTGATAAAACAGAATTAAGGCTGCTTTCATTTGAAGCAGAGAATTACTGGACATAAGTTGCCGTGAATACTTTTTTCAGCATATATAGGAGAGCAAGTCTAGTTTTATAATTAGCCAGAAGAAGAGTTCTAATTCTAAGTAGCTGATTTTCTATGTCATGAAAGAGCAGAAAATTGCTTGCTAAAAAGCCGGGGGGGGGGGGGAGTCATACCAGGAAGGAAAACGGTACTTGTGGTATTCTCTGTGGCAGGTGTCAAAATAACATTTTGACCTTGAACATCATGTAGCTTTTCATTAGGGGAGGGGGGAGCCATTAAAGTGAAAGATGTTAGCCCCAGCCAAAGTTTAATGACTTGAATCTTTTTTTTGTGTTTATTTAGTTTCACACTGTTGGCTGAGAGTCTTTTTCAAATAAGAAGGCAGTTGGAGAAGCTGAATGAACTTTTGATAAAACTCACCTACGAAGGAGACCCCATTCCATTACAAAGACCTCATTTGTTGGAAAGAATAAATGCTTTACTTTACAGTCTTTTCCAAAGGTACGTAAGTTAGTTTTCATTTTCATCTGAAGTTCTACTGGAAACTATTATATAGCACTTTTTCATCTCAGCCGTGGAGATGTTTAATTTTGCAAGAAATTTTCTGAAAACTGGGTTGGATAAAATAAATAATTTTTTCATGCTATCTTGAAGAAACAAAGCTGCTAGTCTTGCAGTATTTCACCAGGATTGTTTGTGGACTGCAGACAATAATTTCCTTTCTCATTAGTTCATTTATAGTGGAGAGGCAGCCTTCCATGCCAACTCATCCTCAGAGGCCTTTGGTTCTGAAAACGATGATACAGTTTGCTGTTAAACTTCGGTGAGTAAAGGTTATTGCTTGCCATTTATTTGATTGGCTTAATGTTTTGGCATATTTCTTAAAACCTGTTGTGTGCCCTAGACCAAATTCCTAAAGAGGTGCATGAACCTTCCATTGGCTTTTATGTAACAGTTTACTATCGGGAGGAGAAAGGTATTTAGGTAACTCTTAAGCCTCCAAATGAGTTCTTCTATGCAAAGACTCGGGACGTTAAAGTTACAACTTGAGCTGTTCAAGCAAGCCAAATCATTTCCCCTCTTGCTTTAACTAACATCATTGGCCCTATTATATTCCATTTCTGCCCTTTTCTACTTGTTGGCATGTGTTTGCATTTTCATCAGCATTTACCCGATTGCACTGATTGTTAAGATTAATAATATTCATGTTATTTCTGTTCAAAACCAGAGTGGGATTGTGGGGAGAGGGGAGAAAAATTTCAGGTGGCATCTTTGGCTGTAATAATTAGTTATCTTAACAGTGCCTCCATGAATTGGTCCTACTGTAATTCAGCAACTGTTTTGTATTTAGGGGAGCTAGCAGGATCCCTTTTAGCTCCTATACAGTTTACTTTAAACAAGCCTACTAATTCAGAGGCTCATTTCCTTTCCTCTCTATTCTCTTCCCATCTACCGATCCCCAATAATTATTTCTTTGCTGATTTCACATTGTCAACCAGCAGCCACCAGATGTTTCCCCTTATCTCTACCTCTTTCTCTTAGTCCTTCTGAGGATTCTGTTTCTTTTGCTTTGACTTCTTTCACTTACAGATCTATGCAATTAGAATCCTAGCATCCAAATTCATTTCCTTATTTTCTTGACAATCTCGACATTAACATTAACACCAACATTAACTTCTTTCCTTATTCCTCAACTCTGCCGCAACCAGTTAGGTTTCATATACTTGATGGCAAATCCACCAGTAACATCATGAATCTGGTTGGCATTATATACACAGATTGCCTAATTTGCTTTCAGTGTTAGAAGATTGCCATGTTGTCTGAGCAATGCCTGAGGCGTTGTTTGTGGAGAACAGTATTTTGTCATAGTAAATTCCACAATTTTAACTTTCTAGGCTGCTTATTAAATTGCCCGACCTGAACTACCAGATTAAAGTGAAAGCTACTATTGACAGGTAAGTAACTTTAAAAAAAATAGATCATTATAATATTTAGTAAAGATTCTCAAGATGTTTTGAAAATGTTTGACACTAATTCTAACTACATTTGCTTCAGATTTTTAAATGATCAGAATGACACTTTTATTTCAATTTACATTTAACAAAACATATTTAAAACAAACAACGATTTAGCTTTGTATGCAAATCCCAATATTCCTGTATCTCTCATCTAAATATTGTTCAGGCTTCTAATGTTGCTTTGTGCCTCAAATATTTTCTTCAGAGCCCATTGTAGTCTTTTCTTGCCAAAATGAAAGATGAATCGCCAATGTAACTTACTTATTTATTTAATCACGTTTAGATCTCCCTCCTTGCCATGCATCTACAAATATTTAGACACTTTGTAGAGACTTAAGAAAATAAGACAAGGGAGTGATAGAAATGTAACAGGATGGCATTGTTTATTTCCTTGTTTATCATTACTACCCAACATTTCTCATTGGTTAACACAATATAGAAAAAAGAAGTTTAAAACATTCATGGTAAGAAGAAAATCAGCATAAAATCAAAACATGATAAAGAACATGATTAATAAAAGAACAAGTCAACACATAAGTGTATTTGGCAACTGAATCATCAGACTCAGACTCATGAAAGTCTTTCCACTGCTTTGAGCCTGTGTTGTTGCTCCACAACAAAACTAGGCAATTTTGATTGAAGTTCTCTTTATGTTGTTTGCGGTGTGAACCTGAAACTCAGAGACGTCAGCATTCTAAAGCATAAAGTTGAAAAGCCAAAGAATGCCCTTGAAGTTCACTCGGATAAGTTGTTAGACTTCATACAAGAAGCTGATGACAGGATTTAGTCAGACTTATGAGTACTATAATAACTATAGTATGGTGTAATAAAATGGTGGTGTTTTTAGAAGACTTAAAGATGCAATGTTTGAATAAACTTCCACAGCTTATTTTTGGTATTGGATCTCAGGCAACTAGCTAAGAGTTAAACAGTGGTAATGGCATGGGGACCGTTAGGCAAACTCCTTAAAGTTCTATTGTAAATGTGGCTTTTTCAGACTGATTTTACCTTCAGTATCTGAACTGAAAAGGAAAGACCATTCTGGGAAATGGGAAAGATCATTATATGATCCAGAGCTGGGTGCTGTCAGAATGCTGATGACCCACAAACATCTTGAACTTGGACAGCAGATGTTCTTTATGAGGGGCCCCGGTTCCAAGGCTCTATTCTGCGTAGCAACTTTAAGACTTGTGGACTTCAGCTCCCAGAATTCCCCAGCCAGCATGAAATCCACAGGTCTTAAAGTTGCCAAGGTTGGACACCTCTGGCATAGAGTTAATTTTCCCAGAAGGAACTGGGAACTGGGGAAGCCTTCTAGACTGAGATTTCTCTCCCTGGTTCCCTAGATTGAGGATTGACCCAGAGTATCTTTTATCAACGTCAGTTTGTGCCCCAGGATTTCCCCCCCCTAGAAATACAGAGTTCTGGTATTATCTTTAAAACCCTAAATACTGAAGAGAATGTCTTTTTCTATCTGAGTCTACCCCCATCTCCAATGATCCCCTAAAGAGACATGTCTTAATACTTGCCATAGGCTTATCTCTTAATAACTCAGGCCTTTTCTGAAACCACCCCAAACATATACTCCATTGAGATGACTGACATCTCTGTTGATTTTTTTAAAAAGCTTAGCTTCTGGAATTTATTTTATTTTAAAAGGCCTTAACACATGATTTTTTCAATTGGTGAAGATTTATTTTTTAATCTATTTGTTTTAACTTACATTGTATGTTTTTATTGTAAACCACCAAGAGCTCGCATATAGCAAATTTAGAAAATCATTCAGATTTTATGTATGTTTGAAGATTTGGGCAAGATTAACTTGTTTGTTTGTTTCTTTAAAATCCAGGAATGCCTCTACTATAAGGTAAGAAAATATGAATGATGGAGTTTGAAGTATAAACACACATTGCTTCTTCTTATTTTACCTGCGGTTCTGAACCTTACCAGGATATGTTTTCTAGCAACCGCAGATTTGTTCTGTGTGGGACTCATGTAAAAGCAATGAACATGGATGAGTCTGCAAACGGGAACCTTTCAGTGGAATTTCGACATTTGGTAAATCAATATTTTTTTTTTCTTTTGGCACAGGAATTGGAAATCCTTGCTTGCTTCTCAGCATTTGTGGATATGGCATTCCTGTTAATTGTGTAATGAGTGTTTCCTCTGAACTTGGCATAATTTAATTAGAAGCCGTGTAGTGACCGCATCCCTGCCACTGCCAGTTAGGTTTAAGCTATACCTGACAACTAAATGCATGTTTGCATCTGACTTTTATAGGTCTCTAGCATTAACTGGGGGATGGGTGTGAATAATTCATAAAATCAGAGCAAATGTGGCACTCTTTTCTCCATACCAATTGGAAGAATTCCCTCAAAAGAAAACCTCTCTTTAGGAAGAGAAAAACAGCAGCATACATTCCTTTAATTATCACCTCATGCCATTCAGATAGTCTTATTAATATTAATATTAAAGTATATTAAATAGAAATATGAATTTAATTGTCAAATATACCTCGGGCCTTACCAATCAGGAAGGAACAAGTATTTCTCTAAAAAGGCATTTCTCTAACAAGCATTCTTGTTATCTTAAAGTCTGTGTCAAGTCTTCATGTGTTTTGGCATGTATAAAGTTGTAACTTTTCTAGAAATTGTGATTGAGGAAAAAAAGTTATTTTTTATTTTTGGAAAAAACAGAAAAATTGAAAATATAAGTAAAATATCCATATATTTTAATATTCTTTATAGATATAAATGTATAAATAGGTGTTGTTGCTAATGTCTGCCTCTGTTTGAGAGTTCAGAGACTCAGAGAAGATGAACAGGAGTAAATCCACCTACTTTTAAATTAAAAGTAAACTAGAAAAATAAATTTATGAATAGGGTACCAAATTCTTCTTTTCTTGGGAAAACGTTACTGCCCCTCAAAGGTGAAAATGCATCGTTAAATACAAAGACAAAGTTGCATTTCCTCCTTTGAGGGGTAAAAATGTATTCTCTCAAATACAGAGAGATCCACTGAGTTGTAGTGAGTTACTCGGAACTTATCCTCTCTGTATGCAGGAATTGTTATCTTCTGAGACTATTACTAGCCTTCTGTAGAAATCGTAATTCATAGTTTTAGTCATAGTTTTGGGGAGAAAAAATTCACAGCAATATTATAAACACTTTATTATTTAAAAAAGAATTATCTCTGAATCATTGTAACAAAATCAAAACTGTATTTGACAGAAATATAATTTGTTCCAAATTTATGTACAGAGTAGAAGTTCTCACCAGCCAAACATGCTTTATTTAGACCACATATGTTGAAGTATGAACTCACCTTCTTATCTGTTCTTTCATAGTAATGTTTAGTTTGTTGGAATATAATAAATCAAATCTACATACAATCCTGTATGACTTTTACTCAGAGGATCAGTTGATATGAACAAATAAAATATTATTTAGCAATAATGTTATATGGTGAGACAGTCCAGGATATGATGAGTTGGGGTTTTTTTTTATTTAGAAAAGTAGGTTTCCTGCTGTGTATTTAGCTTGTCATAAGGAGTTTCGAAACTTTCTCTTCAGTTTTATTTTAGTTATATGTGCTATCTTCTTTTTTTTCTTTTCTCTTTTTTTACTCTATCCAAGTATCAAGTCTCTCTCTCTCTCTCTCTCTCTCTCTGTCTCTCTCTCTCTCTCTCTCCCAACCCTTAGTTTGCTAATTACCTTCTTCATAAGGATGTGGTCAGTTTGTTCTTTACTTATGTTGTATAGAACAACCAATAACCCTTTCACTGCACTCTTGTTTTTCTCCACTTTTTGAAAACAATAACAATAAAAGAAAAAAAAGAACTCTCCCCCCCTCCCACTTTTCCATTTATTTCCTCTACTCCTAAAGTGTAAGGCATGTTCCTTTAAACTGCTGTTTCAACTAGGATAGGGTCGCAATTTGCAGCCCCCCCCTCCAGATGCTTATTTGGGAGATGCAGAAAAGGTTCTCTTTGAGGCTCTCAATTTTCTTGCTATGGATTTTTATTAAGTTGTTCCAAATACTGAGTGAAAGATAATATCTACAGAGAGTTATTCTTTATGCACTTAAAAAGCACAACGATGAACAGGCAATCCTCAGTTCAACAGTTCATTTACTGACTGTTTGAATGGCACTGAAAAGGTGATTTATGACCATTTTTCACATGACCGTTGTGGCATCCCCATGGTCATGTGATCAAAATTCATGGCAACCGGTTCATATTTATGATGGTTGCAGTATCGCAGGGATAAGCAAAGTCAATGGGGAAAACCAGATTCACTTAATAACCGTATTACTAACTTAACTGCAGTGATTCATTTAACAACAGTGATAAGAAAGGTCCTAAAATGGGGCAAAATTCACTTAACAACTGTCTAGCTTAGCAACAGAAATTTTGGGCTCAGTTGTGATTGTAAGTCAAGGACTACTTATAGATACAAAATACTCCAGCACAGAGATCCCGCCCTATATTATTATCTTGTTAGTTAGAGCTTTTTACTGGCTACTAAGAACAAAATATTACTGTATATGTGGGAGGGAAATGTATATAAACATTATAAAATAGTTAAACAGACAAATTAATTATAGCAAAATATAGTATGGGAGTTGTTGATGTAGTTTTCACTGTTTTAGAAGTAGCTGAATTAAGCCACGTGGAAAAAAATGAAATAAATCCATTTCAGAAAAGTCAAACAATAGCCATCAATAGCCCATATCATGTTACTTTAATATTTATTGGTAAATATTGAATCTCATCATTAAACATTTATGTGAATAAACGCTTTGCGTATTGAAGTGGTTCTTATTTTTTAATTCTTTTAGCAGCCAAAAGAAATGAAAGCAAGTGGTACAAACAAAGGAAACGAGGTAAGAAGAAATAATGGTCTGAGCTCAAGAAAATAATACTATATAGCATTTGAAACGTAAATGTTAATCCTTCCTAAGGCTTATTACCTAAGGAACAAAATACTACTACTACAGCATTTGAAACATAAATGCTAATCTTTCCTGAGGCCTATTATCTAAGATGGAACTACCTAAAATGGATAAATTGATTCCAGATACATATAATGGCACAATATTTTACTATTTGTTATAATGTATTATTTGTTTAAAGACAAGCAAATCTGTCTTAATGATGAACCCTAAACTCAGACAAAAGACTGTTTCTTGAAGAGAAAAATTGTATAAATGGAATCTAAGAATCTGAATAACCAGTTTTTAAATAACAAAGTCATATTAAAATGTTATTGCTAAATGTTTATGCTCAATTCATTTCCCCCCATTTAATACAAAAATTAGCTTAATGGCTCCCTCTTCTGGTCTTTTTTGTCATCTGAAATTTACCAAATGAAAATACAAAATAATATCTATAATATGCTATTTTGAGTTTGAAATTAATATACAACAATATGCAATGACCACAGTCACTTTGTAGAGTAAGGTGGGTGGCATATAAATGTAATAAATGTACAAATAAATAAATGCACTGTTGTGCTCTGCTTCAGTTCCACTTACCTGATTTGAAGATATGAACAAAGATACTTGCAATGGCGCAGCCTATGAATTGCCCTGACCATTATGCTTTAGCAAAGATAATCCTGTAAATATCATAAGGCAAGTGTACTCTCAATCTTAACAGTTCTAATCCATGTCATTTAAAAACTATTATTCCTCTTTTCAGATTCCTCAAGTGGTAACTGAAGAACTACATTCAATCACTTTTGAAACACAGATCTGCTTATATGGGATGACTATAGATTTGGAAGTAAGTGTTTTTAATCAGGCTGAATGAATGGAAAAAAATTGAATTACAAATAATGCACATGACTCACTAGCAGTTTGTGGTAATGGACTATATTCAGCTGATTAAATAAGACTGCTTTGAAGACATCTTGTGGCTCTCTCAAGTGAGCAAAAATGTAATCTGGATCTTCACTTAAAAAGATAGAAAGAGAGATTGCAAGTAATTGCTGCTTTAAAAAAAACCAAGTTCTGCATAATCGTTTTCTCTTTGTCATAGCTGAACCCTGATTCTTTTTTTTATACATGTTTTATTAATTTTCTGTTTATACAAACAAGTGCCCAATAGGCAACGTGATGACTGAGTTCATTAGTGATTCTGTGGTACATGTAAGCTTCTTCCAATTAAGTCCCCTATTACAGGGCTTTTCAACCTTTTCACCCATTGTACCACTTTTAGGATATGGCAATATCTGAGTACCACCAGTCGCCTAGCAAGGTGTCAAAAACTTGACCAAAAAAAAAAGGAAAAAAGTGATAAGGTACAGGTAGTCCTTGACTTACAACAGTTCGCTTAGTGACTGTTCGAAGTTACAATGGCACTGAAAGAAGTGCCCCCCAAGCCACAGCCGAGCAAGACACCTGCCTGCCCACCTGGTGACGCTCTTCCTCCTGTCCGAGGTTTTCATTGTTGTGAACATTTCTGTTGAGGATTGGCAGCAGGGGTGGGGATGTTTGGTTTTTACTCCCCCTGTCTGCTGGGTGGTTGCAGCAGGTTTTGGTCATTTTACATGACCCTGGGACACTGTGACTGTCATAAATATGAATCAGTTGCCAAGCATCTGAATGTAAATCACAAGACCCTGGAGATGTTGCAACATTCCAACTGATCGGCGCTTCTTCTGGGCTCAGCAGAAGTGCCAGGATCAGCGCCGAGCTCCAGCTGGAGCCTGGCACTGATCCTGATGCTTCCACTGAGCCTTGACAGCCCTGCAGCTCCAGCCGTCTCTCGCTCAGGCTTGTGCGGTGCTGCCACCGGTTCAGCTCATTCCCCTCCCCCGCTACCACTTTTCTAAGATGGTCGCGTACCACCTGCCAGGTGCCAATGTACCACAGGTGGTACCCGTACCACTGGTTGAAAAGCCCTGCCCTATTACACCCGCCAGTACATCCTCTCTTCTCCTGGTAATAACCATTTTTCCGCTCTAAGCAAATACAATTCTTATTATTGTTAGTAAATATACAATTGCATATCAACATTTGTTATATTTTTCTAATAAGGTCAATAATATTAGTTTAAAATATATTTTCTAACCAAAGCATATCTTAATTGCATTTGCACTCAATTTCCACTTATTTAATCCATGTCCTATTTTCGCTTTTTTCAATTTTAATTTCCCATCCACGTTCAAAGTATTCCAATCATTTATAATTTCAAAACAAGTTATATTTGGGCAACCAAAAGCATCCCTTATTCAAAGTTCTTAACATATTCTTATTTCCCTTTTCATATCAAGATATAATATTCTGATTACAAATCCTAACTATCTAGTTATAATAATACTTTTACTTTCTAACAATCTATTCTTAACCATATTCAAACATCTAATTAGTAACATAGCATCCCCTCTAATAGGTCAAAGTTTCTGTTTTGTTCAATCTTACTCTAGCTTTCTTCCTTTGCCAACTAACTTTCCAAGTCAGCGCATTTGGATCATTAAATAATTCTTCCTCTGTTTTTGTATATATTATTTGAAGCAAGAGAAACAATTTGGTTAAAGTGTTTTTGGAAGAACTAGCCCGTTGATATTCATTAAACCGCCTCCCTCCTTCTCCAGTTCCCCACAGTTCTGTTAACAGCTTTATCTTCATAGCTGAACCTTGATTCTTAATTATTGGTCAATAAAACAATGTGATTAACTATCAATGGGCAACTCTGCCTGCCTGATCCAAGTCAGTTAAGCAAAAATGGATTCATAATTAGCTGTAGTCTTGGCAGAGTATAACTGCACACTTTCGTTTTTCTGATTGGAGATGAAACATGCAAACCATTATTCGCGATAAAACTTTGCCTATCACCATTGTCAACAAAACATTAGATTAGATGAGACATTGATCTGATTCAATGAACTTCTTGATAATGTAGATAAGGTGTTATAACAGTGCTATAATGGTTAATATTTCATTACAATAAAATCTCTGACTTTGCTACAATTTTATAACAAAAGAATGGAATAGTGTTGTATTTGGCAACAGCGTGGTTGTGCATGAACAAGTAAATACCTGTTCTAGATGCCTGAAAGTACATATAATGAAAATAGTTCTTTTTTTGGGGGGGAGCCAATATAGGAGGGATTATAAAATAGCATGAAAAGAGATGGTTCTCATTTCTTGTGGTTTTTTTGCATGTGTAACTTCTGTCATGAACTGATCTAGATTCTCTGCTAGGAATGTCTACTTGAAAACCAGCTGCTGATGGGTTGAAAAGTTTAGCAAGAATTTTGTGCTCTGTGCAGACTTGCTCCTTCAACTAAATTTGCCCTTTACTTCTTCTTTCCCATCCTCTATTTAAAATAAAAACCGAATCTTAAACAGCTAACAAAATTAACTACATTCGTTGTACGGTCTCAGCATAAAAACAATCCATTTGTGTACTGTACATTAACAGTTCCCTAATTTATTTAGAATTATTATTTATTTAGAATGTAAAATTTGCTTATGAGGTAGATTAGGTACATTATGCATAATCCCTGAAGTATAGTCCAACCGGGTTCCAAGAATATTCAATCCTTGCAAAAATTTGAGAGAGCATTTTCTCAGCATGATTCCTTTCTAATGTTATAATACTTCTTGCAATGTATTTGTTGTAAAACTGCAATCTATTCCCCGGGCAATTAGATCTTGCTATATTCGGTGTCTTCATTGATTTCTCCATCTATCTTTTTCATCAGACGAGCTCTTTACCAGTGGTGATGATTTCTAATGTCAGCCAATTGCCTAATGCTTGGGCTTCTGTTATTTGGTACAACTTGTCAACAAGTGAACTCCAGGTACATTTTGCATAGCTAATTATCTTTTTCGCAAGTTTGAGTATAAACGCAACTAGGCCTCCTCAGGCTTTCTTTCCTGTGATGTAGTCCATTGATCAACAGAAAAGATAAATGGATATATATGTACCACCTGCTCTTTTTTTCCCCCTGAGGTTCCTTCCTCTTTTGCAAATGGAAATAACTATTCCGTTTACAAAATCTGTACGCATGTTTATGCTCCACATTTAAAAAAAATAGGTGTATTTTAATAGTTTCCTTCATATCTCTTTATGTTCTTGTTCATGTATGCTCCTATTATTGCATGCCTTTTCTCTAATATTGGTATTTTGTAGGCTATTTTTTTAACCTTTTGGAGAAGAGCAAATGCTGTAATTGTCTTTTGCTTTTACTAGCTTGTAAAATGAAATTATGAATTTAAAGGTGTTTATAAAAGTGCATGTTCTCGTATTTTGGGACTGCAGAATAGCCAATAAAGCCACTGGCTTACTACTGCAAACTTCATAGCTGAAATTAGTAAAGCAAAATAAAAATTAGTACACCCGGTATAAGAGGCATTATGGATTTAAAAGTACCCTTAGAGCTACAGCCAGCCATTTGCATACAGACAAAGATATTTAGCATTTTAAAGTAAAACTGAATTATAACTGCATGTTTTGCCTCTGAAAATACTCATTTTTTATTTCTGAAGTGCAAAACATTACCATATTATTTGTAACCTATTAATATCCTTATTTTCATGATATTACTGTGTATGTTCTGTATATGTATATGTTTCCTTACACAGTCTCTAAAATGAATTCTTTAGGGCTTTTGATTTTATTTAAAAGCCTTGAATTTTCACAATATTTAAATATAATTATTATTCATTCCATTTCTATCCCTATCTTTGGGCTCTCAAAGTCTCCCAGCAATTTGTAGTGATACTTGAAAACTGGAAGTGGAACTAATCAAATTCTGTATTAATTTTTATTTGGCTGCAGAACTTGGCTTTCTTTAATAATCCAATCCCTGTCACTTTGAGTCAGCTCTTAGAAGTCCTGAGCTGGCAGTTTTCATCATATGTTGGCCGTGGACTGAATTCGGATCAACTGGGAATGCTGGCAGAAAAACTAATAGGTAGGAACTGAGAATGTGCTTTGCCTTATCAGACTAAAGAAGCATGTATACAATTTCCTATCCACTGTTTGACATGGACATGAGAGCTTCAATTATGGTAGTAGAAAAGAGTCTTTGCTTTGAAGCTCCAATTAAGAAAACAGGTTTGTCTTCTTAAACAATCTTGACTTTATTTGAAAAAAAGTAAATTTTTTGGAAACAAGTCGCTCTCATTTTTTTCCCCTTTATATTTTAGGGCAACAGATTACTTCCGGTGATCATCAGCTTTCATGGTCAAAGTTCTGTAAGGTACTTGTATGCTATTAATATATCTCACTTTCAAAATGTTACTTTCCTGCTTGTTTTTATTACATGAGCTTGATCCTGAAGTATCATAGGACCTTTCTATAAAGGTTTATTTTTTCTTTAGAACCATCTATAAGATTGCATCCTTATTTTTTTCCTATAAGGTTCTTTCTTGTCTCAGGTAAATGTGCCCTTTGTGTGAAATTTCTGTAAGCAACCTTCCTTTGTTAAAATGCACTCTCCCTATTGCAAATAAAATGGCTAGTGGGTCTACCTTGTTTCACTGGTGAATGGGGGGCGGCGTACTGTTTGGAAAAGAAACCACTTGATATGTGGTACAAAGCAAGGGAAAGTTTTTAAATGCATTGACAATGTTTTAGAAAATGAACAGCGGAAAAATCTGACAGTTTATATAATTTTTCTTAAAAACACTGGAAATGCCCGTAGAAGACACATTCACAAAACAGTGTGATCACTTGAGCAAAACCAGCAAAACGAGTTTCAGTCTGGGATTTTTACTTAAAAGGCAATTATGAGATAACAATAGAAATGTTTTGGATATTTTGGAATACTTGGAACAACAGGGGGAAAAGCAAGGCACACTGATATTCTTAAATGTAGAATTGGATTTTGAATTTGACTTTTTTTAGAGTTCTGGAATATATGAACCTTGAAGATAATTTGATTAAATAGGTAGCATTAATTTACATTTCTCAGAAAGCGCAAACAGTCGTTAATCAAGAACTAACAAAACCTTGTGAAATTCAAAAAGGGACAAAACAAGGACTGGTAAAAATACGTTTTGCTAAAGCATGAATTGGTTCTGTCTGTGGGGAATGGAAACTGAAACTCTGAAGAAGGAGCCTAAGATAAATTAGGCATTGAAAAAAATCAAAATATTGCTTAAACCACTCAGTGAAAAACTGAAAAAAAAAAAGGTTGACTTGTAAAGTTCATTGCCCTCGTTGTCTATATACTAATACTCAGAATATTCAACCAGGTGAGTTTGAGTTCTTTACTAGTAAAAGACATACCGGTATGTATTTTAAAAGGCATAATAGAGATCTCTTAGAATGGTACCCAAGACTGGAATATAACTATTAAAGATTACAGTTATTAAATAATACCTCTATTAGAGAACACTTGAACAGAGCTAATGTCACTATTTTAAAAAGAGGGGAAATTCTGATCATTTTGTGTGACTCAACTACAGAACTGCTAGAATAGATAAAACTGATCTTTAAGCACTTTGAAAACAATATGTTAATTACCAGGGCTCAGCTTAAGAGCCTTGTCAGATCAAACTTATCTTATTTTTTGATAACTCCCTTAATAGAATTAAGAGTTACAGGTAGTCCTTGACTTACGTCCACAATTGACCCCTAATTTTCTGTTGCTAAGTAAGACACTTGTTCAGTGAGTTTTGCTCCATTTTACGACCTTTTCTGCCACAGTTGTTAACGGAGTCGTTGCAGTTGTTGAGCTAGTAACATGGTTGTTAAGTGAATCTGGCTTCCTTGTTGACTTTGCTTGTCATAAAGTTGCAAAAAAGTGATCGCATGATGGCAGGACATTACATCCATCATAAATACATGCCAGTTGCCAATCATCTGAATTTTGATCACGTGACCATGGGGATGCTCCAAAGGTGGTAAGTGTAAAAAACAGTCACTTTTTTGCGGTGCCATTGTAACTTTGAAGGATCATTAAATGAATGGTTGTAAGTGAAAGATTACCTTTCTGTAAATATATCTTGAATTCAGGAAGGCTTCACAGTAATAAGCGAGTATAGAGCTCCCTCCAAAATCAGTCTGAAAGAGTACAGGTTTTGCTTATTGGCTGCTTGCTTCGCGACTGCTCAAAATTATAATGGTTCTGAAAAAGGAGACTTACAACAGATCCTCAGAGTTGTGGCTTTGCAGCATCCGTGCAGTCATGTGATTTAGATTCAAATGCTTTGCAACAGATGGCCATTTACAATTCGCTGCTGGCTTCTGACAAGCAAAGTCAATGGGGAAGCTGGCAGGAAATCACAAGTGGTGTGATGTCGCACTTAATAGCCCACAATGATTTGCTTAACAACTGCAGGCAGAACTAATGTCACAAATCAGCATGGTTACGTGACATTCCACTATAGACTTGTCAATCCCAATTGCGGTTGGTAAGCAAGGATTACCTTTACTCAGCAATAGTTTAGATGGAAAATGGCAGTAGAATGCCACTCTTGGATGCTTTATTTTTCAATGTTTTTATAAATGACTTGGAATGATGTGTGTTTATGTTACTTAAATATGTTGCTTCATTTGTACCCAATTTGTTTTATTAAAAAGGAACACTTGCCTGGCAAACCATTTACATTTTGGGCGTGGCTTGAAGCAATCTTGGATCTGATTAAAAAACACATTCTTCCTCTTTGGATTGATGGGTAAGCAGCATTTTTGCAAAAGTAAAGCCATGGGGAAAGCTTTACTTGTGTAAAAAAAGGTAAGTATAATTGATATTCAGCAAATCTATAGGGAGAAATTATTTGGCTGAGTTCTCGTTCTGTTGATCCAATTTGCACTTAGCATTCTAACTGTACGAATTGTGGGTACTGTGATCGGAATCAAAATGGGATATCCTTGACATTTTGCTGTAGAAACAACCCAGATGAAAAGGTACATGCACTCAGTTCCACTGGATGTTGTTTGCACAGTCAAGGTACAGGATGAAGACACATATATCTTATTTGCAAATGTTTTTTAACCGATGCATAGTGGAAGGTGTGAGCAAAATGCTTAACCGAATAATTAATTAATAATTAATAATTGTTATAATAATAACAATTCCAATTAGCATATGACTTGGAAGAACCATTATTATTAATTCTCCAATGGTATTTATTTTTTTAAAGAGTTTCAGGAGACATTAATGATGGTGGGAAATGCAATGGCAGAGGAAGGGATATTGAGGAAGAGGTTTGTAGCTTCCTGACTATATATTGCTTCTTTGAAGCTTTTATGAAGCAGATTCTCCTTCATGTTCAAACACAAGTTGAATCTTGTGTCAATGCAGTTTTCTTGGCAGCAGTATAGAAATGGTTTGTTACTGCTTCTTCCAGGATGTATTTTGTTGTTGTTGTTGTTAGCCTCCCAATGTAGCCTGCAAACTGGGAAATTCTTGATGGTTTTTTCATCTGAGTAATAATCAGATTCAACCCTGTTTAGGTTTTTTTTTTCAGATCAGTCAAAAATAGTTAAGTTATGTCACCTGGTTGGCCACTGGACAAAATACCATTCCTGTATTTATGTCAGAGTGGCAATTGAAAAATAAAATCCTTCCTCCAGCGCCATTTCTCTAATCATATGTGGTCTTTTGTTCTTTTGTTATACTACTGATTAGTCCTGTAGATTTTACGTTTTGGTCTGCAAATCTGCAATTATCTGGGATTGTCATATAACATTTTCCCAGGTAAATTCCACGGTCCTTTTTTTACAGGTATGCATCCATATAAAGTTGTACTTTCACATCCTGTTTACAGGTGCATTATGGGCTTTGTGAACAAAGAGAAGGAGCGAGCTTTGCTGAAAGACAAGAAACCTGGGACGTTTCTACTAAGGTTTAGTGAAAGTAATTTAGGAGGGATTACGTTTACCTGGGTATCCCTGTCTGAAAATGGTAAGTTCCATACTACTAAAATACATAACACTTCATTTTATCTTCATCTTTCCTTTATGACTCCTTAAACCTTTTGTGCATAGATACAAAAGAACTCTACTCCTTTGATCTGACCTGCTGAACTATGGGTGCTTGATTTGATTTGGCAGCCTTTGTGGATTGGGCGTTTTATTTTCCATGTTGTGCTTTTGTCCTTTTTATTTATTTATTTTTTAAATCTGAAACCTATCCTCTTATTAATTTGATTGTCATATATTATATTGCTTATTAAAACTCTATCCTCTTCTTAACAACTCTGTTATCTTCGCAGGGGAAGTGAAGTTTCATTCTGTTGAACCATATAACAAAGGCCGCTTAACTGCCTTGCCATTTGCAGACATATTACGAGATTACAAAGTTATTTCGACAGATAACATTCCTGAAAACCCATTGCAGTATCTTTATCCCAATATCCCCAAAGACAAAGCTTTTGGAAAGCACTACAGCTCTCAGCCTAATGAAGGTCAGAAATTATTTTGAATGTCTTCCCTTCCCTTAATTGAGCTAAATGTGTGAAGTGACATCCTCCCATGTACCCAAAATCGCTTACACTTCTTAGTCTTGATCCAGATTTAATGTGCATCATATTTTACATTTAGTAGCAAGACCTACAGAAGGAGGGACCAAAGGTTATGTCCCCTCTGTCTTCATTCCAGTCTCTAAAATGTGAGTAATCATTCTATTCGTTTCAGTTGTTATTATCTAAAGTAATTAATGTAGGAAACTTAGCAAACTCTGCTATGGGATGTTGCTCTCTAACTGAGATGTTAAAACACACTGAGAAATCCAAACTCTTTATTTTTTTT